AACAGTTAGCAAAAAAATTATATTTAAAAAGTTCTTTGGCCTGCATTTCCAGGAGTTCATATATAAATTGCCTTAATGGCTCCTCAGTGAACCATAGATTTGGCTGCTAACAAGAAAAAAAAAGTAATAGATTAAATAGATCAAATACATGCTTCTAGCAAAGTCATTACCTCTGAATATTCTAGGAGGCTTTGGAAACATTAATTTACTTTTCTTTCTTCCCTGTATTTAATTTTTAGTGAGCTGGGATAAAGCAGGTAAGTATAAACATTTTGCATTCTGCAGATTGCCTCTTTTCAAGTCCATTATTATGCAAGAATTACCAAACTATACTGAAACTGCAACAAAGGGAGAGGCTAATATTGGGTAACAGCTGCTCACCTATACCACCTTACCCAACATTGTTAGAAGAAGGATACATTGCTCAAGTAATTAAATATTTACTCCTTTAAAGGTATAACTAGAGCATGAAAATACATTTCTACCTCCCACAGCTTTTATCAAGCTGTCAGGTTCTCCATAGCTTCGTGTTAACTGAATCATAAAGGGAAAAATACCTAAAGCAGGAGAAATGTGTGAACCCTTGCTTGAGGATGCACTTGGTCATTTGGTGAGAAACCAGAAAAAAAATCTTGACTATTCCTGATTTCTTCTGATTTCAGCAGCAAGCTCAGTGTGTTCTCAGCTTCCAAATAGATGCTTCAATCCCCTGCTAAGACAACATGGCATAATGTGTCTGTTCTTGGACACAGCTTTAGCTGTGACCATTTTTTCTGAACAAACTTGATAATGTTCAAACCAAAAACTTCTTTCTCTATTCCAGCATCCTTCCTTCTCCACATGTATTTATCCTCTGCCTTGTGAAAATAACCAAACAACCAAGTCTTATCTGAAAGGCTGTTTGATGGGATAGTTATAAATGGAGTGAAAGGAGATGCATTGCCTTATTTCCATTAGAAGCCTTTAATTTAGATTCATATTGGGTGGTTCATTATAAAAAAAACCAACCAAACAAAAAACTCACTTTGTTTTTGCTTGAAAATCCTATTGAAATCTACATTTTTATATGCAGAAATGTCATTTTAAGTCCATAAATATACATCCTCTGTATTAAACTTCAGTTTCATCGAGGCACAGGAAATTTGTTTTGGCCAGCTTTCATGGGGAGATATAAAACAAAGTGCTAGATATAAAAATATCCACCCAGTAGTTTTGTCTTTGTGGGCTTGTTTCCCACTGCATTTTCACACCTTGGTCCACTTCTTTTTAAAATGTAAAAGAACTGAACTATTGATTGGTATTTCACACTCTCAGGACACAGTAGCATGAAAATACTGGATCAAAGTGAATCTATGCTGAGCTTTATCCCCTGCTTCCTTATTATCAAAGCATTTGTTCAGCTTTAAGCATATGAATACGATCATTTATATGCAGCCAAGCACTTAAACTCATATATAAGTTTAATGATGTAACTGAAATCACTGGGGTTTAAGGATAAAACAGTGCGATGTATGAGTAATGTGCTAAGTTGACTACACTCAGACTTGATTTCTTTACCCCATCCAAAACTTCTATTCCTTTGTAGTAGCATGCTCTGCTCAGTAGCTCCTTGACCACTAGCTCCTTGACCTAGAATACATAGTTGACTACACTCAGACTTGATTTCTTTACCCCATCCAAAACTTCTATTCCTTTGTAGTAGCATGCTCTGCTCAGTTTAGCTCTTCTCACCTTCAAATTCTCAATTTAATGAATAAATTAATGTGGTATCTCTAGGAAAATTATTTTGAAAGTTATCTAAAAGTTCTCAGGTTTCCTATTTTCTCTGACTACCAAACTCAGATATTGGCTGCTGTTCTTGATGAAGAGGTATATTATAAACTGAAATATTCTACTAGTCCTTTTCCCATATTTTATGAAGATGGGAGGTAAGCCAAACCCCTTTCTCTAGCCTCCTCCTGTTGGCCACAGACCAAAAGATACAGCCATTTCTGAAAGAAGAATGTAACTCACTCTTAGAACTTGGGCTTCTAGTTTCTCACAGAGAAGAAACAGTTCCTGGCATGTGGATAACAAGAAGAGTGACTACAACATGGAAGACCATAATGGGACAGAAACTGTCCCTAGCTCAG